AGAGAGAGAGAGAGAGAGAGAGAGAGAGAGAGAGAGAGAGAGAGAGAGAGCGAGAGCGAGAGAGAGAGAGAGAGAGAGAGAGAGAGAGAGAGAGAGAGAGAGAGAGAGAGAGAGAGAGAGAGAGAGAAGATTAATGAGAATGAGCGAGTGAGAGTGGTAATAAGGAAGAGATCGGGAACAAGAAGGGGGAAACGGAGAAAATCAAATTGCATAAGAATGGAAAAATGATAAAGTCTGTTGGATAAAACAGTAATTGGGTCAATAACTTTAACTGACAGTAACAGCATATAAGTTGATTGAAAATTATCACTCAAATGCTTATTTAAACCTGGAGGGGAAAATGGGGAGAGGGGAGGAAAGGTAAGAGAAAACACTTGAAGAAAGGAAATTTCATTACCAAAATGGGAAGAAAGAAGGGAAAAGAAGAAAAATACAAAAGACAAAAGTCAGGGAGCCAGGTAATAAAAGACAAGAGAAAGGAAAAGCAAAGCCACCGCCAATTACACTAAAAAGCCTCCACGGTCAGTACAAGTGGGGGAGGGGGAGGGTAGGTCATGGCGACCTTTCACAGACACAGTACACACACACCCACACAAACACACACACACACACACACACACACACACACACACACACACACACAAACACACACACACACACACACACACACACACACACAAACACACACACACACACACAAACACACACACACACAAACACACACAAACACACACACACAGACCCCCGGGAAGAGAAGACGATGCATCGGAAGGGCATAAAGGTCCAGGGGAGGAAAGGAGGAAAATATAAAAAAAATAAAAATAAATAAATAAAGTCGCTGAAGGAGGGACATATAATCATTATGGAAAAACCTCCGCTCAATCACGTAAAGAGCGCTTTCATGAATGCCTGATGCGCCAATGGCTGACTTCGGCGGGGGGGGGGGGGAGAGAGAGAGAGAGAGAGAGAGAGAGAGAGAGAGAGAGAGAGAGAGAGAGAGAGAGAGAGAGAGAGAGAGAGAGAGAGAGAGAGAGAGAGAGAGTAGAGGGCAAAGGGGGAGGGGGAATGGGAGACAAGGGGGGGAGGGGGACGGGGGGAGGGAAACAGGGAGAGGGATAGGGGAAAGAGAGGAGGAGAGAGGGTAGAAAGAGAGGTAAGGGGAGGGAAAGGGGAGGGGAGAGACGAAGGGGAGAAAGGACAGGACCGGTGAAGGGGGTGGGAGATGGACAAGAGGAAAGGGGGGGGGGGGTATACGGGTGAAGGATAGGTGATGGGGGAGAGGAAGCGGTGAGGGGGGAGTAGGGAGAAAAAGGAGGAGAGAAGAAATAGTGAAACAAAGGGGGCGTGGAGGAGAGAGAGGAGAGGAAGTAGGGAGAAGTAGATGAGGAGAAAAGTAGATGATGAGAGAAGTAGGAAAAGTAGGAGAGTGTGGGAGGGAAATGGCGATATAGGGAGTTGAATGGGGGGGGGGGGGGGAGAAGAATGGATAGGAAGTCGGACGGGGAGGAAAATGGGTAGGTCTCGGGGGGGGGGGGGGGGGGGGCAAGGGAGGAAGACTACGTAAGGTAATGGGGAGAGTGAGAGAAGATAGTATCAGAGACGTAAAATTGCAGAAAATAAAAAGGGATGGAGACAGGGAGAGAAGAAGGAGAGATAGCGACAGATAGAAACGGAGCAAGGGCGATAACAGACGGAGAAAAAACAAAGACACAACACGAAAACAAGACAGACAGAAAGACCCCTCCCCTTTCCTATCTCCCCCCGCCCCCCTCCCTTGCAATGAGGGGTTAAATCCTCGGCAAACAAAGAGACTCCCCGACGGTCGATGGGAAGAAGAATGAAGGAATTAGCCGGCCATGTTCACAGGCGGACACTCGCAGTGTTAACTGTGTCCGGACATGCTACTTCTCTCTTCTTCCCTTCCTATCTTCCTCCCCCTCTCCCTTTCTCTCATGCTATCTCCCTTCCTTCCTTCATCTCTTTCTATCTCATTTCCTCCCTCCCTCCCTCTCTCCCTCTCTTACAATCCCCTCCTACCCCCAATAGAACGCGCCTAGCCAGTTATTAGAAAATTGTTTTTCTTTTTTCGAACAAGTAAGGTAAAAATTGCTTGTTTTTGACGAATGGTGTGGATTTGATTGTTTTTTATAAATGTAATTTTCTAATCTTTTAGTTTCTTGACAATAAAAATCCAAAGTACGACAATAAATGTCTGTTTATCAACTTTCTTGGATATTTTTATGACTGACTTTTTTCAAAACAATCTAATAAAAAGGAAAAATTGCTTGTTTTTCACCGATTACAACCGATTTGACTTCCTTACTGCAGATATTCTTTTTCTAACAACCTCTAAGAGTCTTTATTTCTCTAACGTTTCTCTAAAGCGATGTTTATTTCATCACTGTCTTTACTTTAATCTTCTTTTTAAGTTTTCGTTTTCTAATTTTCAGTTCTCCTTTCCTAATTAAATTATCAATTTCATTTCTATCTAGCTTTCGAGTGATGAAATTAACGAACATTAGAGAGAGAGAGAGAAGGTAAGAAGGAAAGTGAAAAAAAGAGAAAGGGAGTATGAATTATAGAAAAAAAGCAAAAGCAAAAAGGAGAAATAAATAGTGACGCTAAGACAGAAAGAGAAATCGCGATGAAATATACATAGCTAAAAATGGACGGATTTTGATGAATAATGAAAAGAGCTAAAAATCCCAAAAAGAGAATTAAATGACGCATAAATAAAAAGGGTAAATAAATGCCTAAGAACTCGAAAATGTGAAATCATCCGAGTCAAACGCAATACTGTTCAAACATTTAAACTGAAACGTTTCCGGAATCGAGCAGCTTCGAGGCAAGAAGGCATTACAAGGACCCGCAAATCGTCAGACAGAGAAAGAGGATGATGACAACGAAAAAAAAGGGGGGAATTAGGAAAGGAGAAAAAAACAACAGAAGAATGAGGAAAATAAAGAGAAGAAAAGAAAAACTGGCATGAACAAGGGAGAAAAATAATGAGAAAAGGAAGTGGCAAGAAATAGCAAAAAAGATTTGACCACCTCACCAATTTCGCTCTATGGCCGTCCTCGCCCCTTCACCCGATGGCCATCCTCGCCCCTTCACCCGACGGCCACCCTCGCCCCTTCACCCGATGGCCACCCTCGCCCCTTCACCCGATGGCCACCCTCGCCCCTTCACCCTCTGGCCACTCTCGCCCCTTCACCCTCTGGCCACCCTCGCCCCTTCACCCGATGGCCACCCTCACCCCTTCACCCGATGGCCACTCTCGCCCCTTCACCCTATGGCCACCCTCGCCCCTTCACCCGATGGCCACCCTCGCCCCTTCACCCGATGGCCACCCTCGCCCCTTCACCCGATGGCCACCCTCGCCCCTTCACCCGATGGCCACCCTCGCCCCTTCACCCTATGGCCACCCTCGCCCCTTCACCCGATGGCCACCCTCGCCCCTTCACCCGATGGCCACCCTCGCCCCTTCACCCGATGGCCACCCTCGCCCCTTCACCCGATGGCCACCCTCGCCCCTTCACCCAATGGCCACTCTCGCCCCTTCACCCAATGGCCACTCTCGCCCCTTCACCCGATGGCCACCCTCGCCCCTTCACCCGATGGCCACCCTCGCCCCTTCACCCGATGGCCACCTTCGCCCCTTCACCCGATGGCCACCCTCGCCCCTTCACCCGATGGCCACCCTCGCCCCTTCACCCGATGGCCACCCTCGCCCCTTCACCCCATGGCCACCCTCGCCCCTTCACCCCATGGCCACCCTCGCACCTTCACCCGATGGCCACCCTCGCCCCTTCACCCGATGGCCACCCTCGCCCCTTCACCCGATGGCCACCCTCGCCCCTTCACCCTATGGCCACCCTCGCCCCTTCACCCGATGGCCACCCTTGCCCCTTCACCCGATGGCCACCCTCGCCCCTTCACCCGATGGCCACCCTCGCCCCTTCACCCGATGGCCACCCTCGCCCCTTCACCCAGCGCTCACCCTCCGCCCCTTAGCAAAGGTCCCCTCCATCGGCCACTGCATTAATTTACGACGGTACTTACCACAGTACATTAATTACGCCACCTGAAGACTTCATGGGCCAATAAAGGGGTAAAATGTTTATCCTAACCCTAGCGCTTAATAGCCCTTCCGCAGGCAAGAATAGTTCCACCCGCGGACATTACCATATTTCATCATGGAGACACTCAACTAAAAATACGCACCCACACTTTGTTATCCAAAACGTGGTCTGCGTTTCCGTAGAGTTGCGCGGCGGCTGGATTTGGGCTCTGCCTCCGTCTCTGCTTCTCTTGTCTTTCTCACTCTGTCTATTTAACTGTTTATAGATCTCTGTCTATTTGCCTGTCTGTCTCCTTTGCATTCTCCTCTCTTTTACTTTCTCTTTCCCAGTCCCTATTCTCCATCTCTTTCTCCCTTTCCCTTTCTCTTTCCCTCTCTCTCTCTCCTATTCCCACTTTCTTCGTTGTACGGTTTGTAATAAATGATGACTTTAAAAATCGTTCTTTATTTATTTATTTATCAACCTCTTAACAATCTTCATTTCTTAAAGAAAAGGCATTTGTAACTTCTGTGCACAAGGATGCATCGAAACGTTACTAATCACAACTGCATAATTTTACAGGGGAAAAAGGTTTTTGCATGTACAGCAAACGTTGTATCAAATTTGCATACGTGCACTCTTGTCAAGCTACAGGCGCCGTGTCGAGCCTATAAGTCTGTCTGCAACACAGAATATCATCACAGATATGACGAGTGAAATTGAAAAAGATCCGCACTGATACAGATATGCATATTAAATCAGAAAATAAAATAACCATCCCATGAATAACAGCAAAAATAACGAGAATAATCATATATAGAATAGTAAATAAATAACAGCAATAAGAACTACAATAGCAAACAATAACAACGATGACAACAAAACAACATATAATAATAATAACAATAGTAATAATAATAATTATAATAATAATAATATTAATAATAATGATAATAATAATAATAGTAAAAATAATAACATGATTCGCTAGGACGGAGCCTTCTTTCAAAGGACTCTGGCAGGTGGCGGCCGTTGCCCCGAGTGGATGCCCTTCCGTTTAATCTCAGACCATAATAATAATAATAATAATAATAATAATAATAATAATAACAATAATATTGATAATGATAATGATAATAATAATAATAATAATAATAATGATAATAATAATGATAATAATAATAATAATGATAATGATAATAATAATAATAATGATAATAACAACAACAATGATGATAATGATAATGATGATGATGATGATGATGATGATGATGGTGATGATGATGATGATGATGATGATGATGATGATGATGATGATGATGATGATAATAATAATGATAACAATGATGATAATAATAATGATACTACTACTACTACTAATAATAATAATAATAATAACAGCAGCAACAATACACAGACTGAAAAATATGCCAGAGGAAAAGCAACGTTGCTTGTGCAGTCCACCAACAGACCTTCCTGCAACGTTCAGAGGCGACGGAGGAGAGGAACCAAGGGAACCACGTATAACTTCACCAGCACCGGCCAGCTGTTGTCCCGCACTGGTATAGCGGTGAAGCCCAAACGTTACCTCCGCTTCAATACTCAATAATAAGCAGCATAGTCATGATAGCCCACACCAATACAAATGCTATAAACAATTATGGCATTTTTCCCCATACAGACTGATGCCGCTATCCCCCAATTATCATTATATTAAATGTCAGGATATATGGGGCATTAGCGGGGGATGTGTGGCCGGCGCGGTGCTGCTGATGGGGTATTGCCGGAACAGCGCCCCGACTGCTGTTTTTTAACCAAAAGCCACGGTAGCTGAAATGGCCTGCTTTTCTAGCACTGATCGAAGTCCGTTTAGATTGTTCTGCTTGAAAAAAAAAATCATTCACCAGTAGGCCTAATCTAGCACGGATTAGAATGAAATCCGTCTTCTAAGGTTGAGCTTCTAACATTCCTTCGATGAAAATCAGGCGAAAAATATCACATTTTGGATGGCACCGCCGAGGAGAAGGACTCGGCAGCGCTCCAATGAAGACCCTCGCTTCGAATCCGAACCCTCTAAAGCCGGAGTTAAGGAGAGGAAGCAATCAGCAGCTGCAGTAAAGGAAAGGCGTAACACAGCCTAGGGCGTAAACCCGCGGTTGACGGGAGTCCTAAGCACATGGCAAGGGGGGTGGGATGGAATGGGTGGGGGAGGGAAGAATGGTGGGGGAGGGAAGGGGGCCGGAGGAAGGAAGGGGGATGGGGGAAATGAGGGGGTTGCAGGGAGTGAATGAAAAATGGGGAACAGAAGAAGGGGCTGGGAAGAAGGGTGGCGGTAGATGACAGTAGTTAAGGTAGAAGGGGGTAGATGAACCTATAGGGTAATTGTCCTAATGGCGCGTGTGTGGCCTAGCACGCTATAAGCCCCGCTTCCCTCTCCCCCCTTCCCTTCCCCTCCCCTATCTCAAGCTCTGACAAGATCCCCTCTCTATTTAATTATCTTCCTCAGCATGATTTTTTTTTTTTTTATTTCTTCTCCTTCTTCTTATTTTTCTTCTGATGTTGAATTGGATTACTCAAAAGATCATTCGTGCGAAGTCCTGCGGCAGAGTCATGGCTCACAGACTGTCCGAAAAACGAAACAAAAAGAGTAAGAAAAGATGGTGACAATGAAGATGAAGATTATAATGATGATGCACTATGTGTGCATGCACACACACACACACACACACACACACACACACACACACACACACACACACACATACACAGATAGATAGACAGATATACATATATATACATAAACTAAAAGACTAAAATGTTAAAGATATTTCATAAAAGAGCAAGAGGTACTCGTGGGGCCCAGGAGCGCCGTGTAAGACCATCCCATGCCGCACTTACTCAGTGAAAGCTACATTTGAAAACACAGAATACATCTCCATAATTTCGGATGTTTTCCACCGGGCTTTACCCTCCCACCACACTCGCCGCCGCCGGGTCTGTGTTGAAGCCGCACCTTAACGGGAATCCTGGGTGCCCGGCCCTGCGGACGGGAATCCTCGACGCATCGCCACTTTAGACAGTGACCCTAAATTCCTTAGCACTTTAGACGGGAGTCCTAGAAGCCTTGGCAATTTAGACGAGAAACTTTGACGCCTCAACATTTAAAATGGGAATCCTAGAGGCCTCAGCATTTTAGACAGGAATCCTAGACGTCTCAGCACTTAGAAGGGATTCTTTAACGCCTTATACAGAAATTCCAGATGCTCCTGCCTGATAGACGGGAACCATAGACGCCCCGGCATCTTAGACGAAATTCCTAGACGCTCCTGCACTTTAGAGGAGAATCCTAAGCGCGGAAATCCTTTAAACCTTTAGCAGATATCTTAAGTGCTTTTGTATAACGAATGGCATTCTGTGAATTAAGACTGCGGACACATAT